CGGTAGCATTGATTTGTACGTATCTTGCAAGAGATTGTGACCGGCCGTCGTAGCTGTGGTTAGCAAATGATTACCGGCCAGCGCTAGGCTCGTCGAGTAGTCGGCCGAGTAATTGGCCATTTGCGCCGCGTGGACGCCGACGCCAACAGTGCTGCTTACGTCTAGCCATCCGCCGGCGGTCGCGGCGCCGTGCACATCCCACCAACCGTCGCTTGCTTTAATTCCGCCGTGCGTCGCGCCTGGCATCGCGTTGAATGGCCACGACTCGTACGGATGCCTGCCGTACACCGAGCCCAAAGTCGCGCCTTCGACTTTGCCCAGAAGACTACTCTGATGATGATGTGGATCGCCGGCCGGTTGGGCGCTCGCCGTTCCGGGGAAATACAAGTCGCTACCATATTGCGGTGCGGTCGAGGCGCAAGACGTTACCGGCGCCCTGGCGTAACCACCGGTCGTGCTGCCGGCGCTGCTCGTCGCCGCCGGTCTCTGGCTCACTCCCGTCGTTGTGCACCCACCGCTACCGCCTCCTCCACCTCCGCTGCCACCTCCCCCGCCGCCGGTGTGTTGTGGCGAACTGCCGCTGCTTTGTGGACTCTTCTTCCAAGGGTGGAAACCTTTGCCTACGGCTGCATCCGCCAACGGCGGCGGGCTTTTACTGCTTAGTTTGTTGCATTGCGCCGCCAGCATGGCCAAAGGCGTGCCTCGTAATCCTGGATGATCCTGTAACATCATCATAAAATCTATCCTTATTCTTTGATCTATATTTTACTGCGAAAGAAAAGAACTTATCTATATCTTTTGGCATTTTTTATTTTAGGGCATATATTGTCATACGACGCGATGTATAATTCAATTTCAACTTTATATTGCGTTGCCTTTATTATACACTCGATTTATATTTATAAAGTGTTATAAATACGACAAATTTTCTTTATTAAGGAAATCTAACAAATGTTTACGGACATGCACGACCTCGATTTACAATGTGCTAACTGAACAACGCTCGCGCACGCATTACCAGTTCTTTTCAGAATTTTTAACATCGGAAGCGCTCGTTATGAAGCAATCTCGTCGTACGATTACGCAAATCGGTAATAACAACTCTGGAGTGAATTACGTATCACGCGTATCGATTCACGGGACTATCAAGATACTTTTTCGTGCTAGCGCGGTTCGTAATATCGAAATCTGGCGGTCGATGGACGCCCATAATCGCCCCGCCGCGTCTAAATCGATCTAAAAAGAAGCCCCGGTTCGGGCCCAGATCCAAGGAGAGAGAAAGAGGAAAGTCTTCCCCTAAGGGCGTATAATGACACTAAATTGCCGTTCCTATCCTAGAAGAGATCCAAGATTAGTCGCTGAAAGTAATGAGACCCGGATAGTCCAATCGCTCTACCTAGGCCGCTTTCATGCAAATTGTTCTCGAATCAAGCACAAGGTCGATGTACGATTTCCATGATACCATATTAAGCGACCCAAAATAACGTGGGAAAATGTTACAATCTTGGAAACAAATACGTAGAATATCAGGATCAAATTGCTTAAGATATCACGTAAATAATACGATCAGCAACGAGATAAGAATTATAATTTGTAATAGAAACGTGATGAATTCTTGATGCAAATTGAGTAAATTCAATAACGACATAATTTGTGTGTGAATCTCTTAGCAGATTTCAATAAGCCTTCCAATTCTGAGAAACTTGCGGAATTCATGCTCTTTCGCGCACACGCGGCGCGAGGAATTAGAGGGAGCACAATTTGTGTGCGAGCTAAAAATTAGAGCGAACGGCAGAAGCCGACTGAAACTTTAGATAACGAACTTCATCAAAAGCAACTCCATGCAAATCGCTCGCGGGGTTAGCGCGGGGGTAAAAGGACAAGGAGAGTGTCGGCGGCTACCGAAGGGCCGGAGGCTGAAGAGGAGAGGTCCCGAAGCGGATTTGGACGTGGAGAGGTAAAAGCGAGAGGGTCCGCGGAAGCGGCAGGAAATTAAGGTCTGGAGGGCCGCGCGGCCATTAGCAGCCGGCGCCATGGAGGCGACACGCCCCCACGTGGATTCAACCTTGCGCCAGCAACACCGGCGAAAGACAACGAACGCGCGCACCCTTCCAGGATGAAAGCGACGTGAGAAAGAGAGAGAGAGAGAGAGAGAGAGAGAGAGAGAGAGAGAGAGAGAGGTGAAAAAGCGAGGGGGAAGAGAAAGGAAAAACGGAGGAGTCGCAACCGCACTGTGCGCTCGATCTATCCTCCGAGGAGATCCAGAGTTCTGTTCGGTTGCCTCGATCATTCATCAACGCGTACAACAAATGTCCTGCTCATATTTCTTCGCGGTAACATGACACATTGTTGTATATGGTCGTTATTTAGGATATGCTCGTGTACGAGCACCGTTTCAAGGCTTTCCGAGTGATTTACAGTGTCGTCATTTTTAACGCAAAAGTAATAATAAAATAACTAAGTGTTAAAGTGTGAATAAGTAAAAACAATTTATATCTCGAGGACGTTACAAATCGAATGAAATATCTGTAGTTTACGCTTGAACGATGAAATGTTGGAAAGTATCGACAGTTATTATTCCGAGAAATCTCCAAATGCAGGATGATTGCTCCCCGTTACAATGCTCTCGACGAATGGGAGCGCTCGTTGACGCGGAGGTCGTAGAGGGTGACGACTGGCACGAGAGAACCGCGGAGGGTTGAAAGGACGAAATCGTCTCTCCCGCTTTTACGTCGAGAGGGAGGCGGAAGGTTTAGCACGGCGGAGATCGCAACGGGGTTGAGTGTCTCTCCGCCGGTGTACGAGCCACGCCCTCTTCAAGCTCGATGAGTGCAGGTTGTAGGCAGGCCACGTATCGATCCGCCGGGACAATATGACAGTGGCCTGCGGAGACAACGACGTCCCTCGATCAGCTCCCTCCACAGTCTCCACCGCTAAACCCTACGCGTGGATACACGCCCTCCATGGCGCGTCGCGCGCGTACACGTTAACCATCTCGCAATCACGATTCGCAGCTATTTTATCACCTTTTGTTTATCACTTCTTGGAGATATCTTCACAATGAAATAAGTTTTGAGTTATCAACCTCAAGTTGGAAACAACTGCAAGAGATTCGACTAAGTAATGGTCAGCGGAAGTGCGATGATCGCGTAGGTAGGTGAAAAAGTGCGTAGTACAAAATTGACGGAGCGTAAAGAGTGCCGAACTACTCGGCATCGGCGAGGCCCAGGTCCCTCGCACCCTCCTGTCGGCACGGTTAAAAGGGAGCCGACGTGAAATGGGCACCGGTAGGATCCTTTGTTTTAGCCGCGTGACGTCACGCCCCTCGTAGCCAGCTAGGACTAATAATGCCTGAAGCTACGCCGCGCATAAATTAAAACGAAGAATCCTCGCTTGTCTCGCCTCGTCCCGTCTGCGTCGGCTTGGATCTTTTTCCAAGAACTCATTCGCGCCGAGGCGTCGCGCGATTGCTGTCCGACTGGCCAGGCCTTGAACGTGCCAGGAAGTATCGACCACCACATGAGATCGTTAACGAGATCGGTCACTCGACACCCGATGCAACGCAGCGCCGGATGGCGGAAAATAAAGCGGAAACGCCGGCGATCGTTCGAGCACGAGCCACGTGACAGCTGAATGCGAGGGAGGTAAAAGACCCGACAGCGAGGGTGCGAAGCAACAAACCGTGGGGTGTCTACCGGTCGAGCTTCGTGGCGAACCGCATCCGACGTCCGTGTCAAACTTTTATTCCCCTTTCAGCCTGAGGAGAACCCTCGTTCGCACATCAGGCGAGACATGCGTCGACGATCAGTACTTTATGCATGCACGCTAACGAAATCCTAAACATCGAGAATCCTACAGTAGAGATACAAATAATTCTCCTCCCTTTTAAATATACGACAAAAGAATTTTTTTTTTCTAAAGGCAAGAAGATATTTATTTTGTTTACAAATTTTAATTTGTACCTTTTCAACTAAACACAAGTCCTTTGGGAAACGACTTAGAAATTTATTTCTGCTATCAAGTCGTTGTCATCGAATTAGTCGGACAGAGACAATTAAACGAACAAACGAAGCCGCGGAAAAAGGATTGCTTCGTGCTCCATAATGGAGCGCCGCGCAAAATTAGTCGGCGCTCTTTTCTGCTTTCGGTGTAAAAAGTGTCGGTCGTTCTCGAGAGCCATTGACCGTGATCTCCAAGCACCTGCCGAGCCGGCATGGTCGAGTTTCTGATTGGATCCACCTGCATTGAGCAGCCCCCAGCCAGTAGTATTGACTAACTACATCATCAAGGCCTTTGCGTATTTTAATTTCTGATTTTGTATGTTTAACTGAATCACACTGGTCGTTATCTCTCTCTCTCTATACCATATACACGGGTTTTTTTATCCCTTTGCCATCTTTATACAGACCGTCCAAACTGATTTAATTACGACATAACACTATCTTATTTCATTGTGAAGGTAAATATTAATATATGCTAATGTTGGAAAGATTATTTCTTTTTAGTCGATATCTAATAAAACATAATATATTTAAGAGTAATCGTTTATATTTTAAAATATATTATGATTTCAAGATATTTCAGGAAAAAACCTGAATTAATTCTAAAATGTAATCCATTTCGTATTTGTCACATAACATACAGTGGTTCATTTCGTGCTACGAAAGAACCTGGCAAAAATTATTCACAAAGTACGTATAACATCGTAGATAAGTAATGTAACTATTATTACCATGCAAATTGTAACGTGTTACAGATACGGTGTATACCATCGAATTATAATTTAAAATGGTATTATTACTTCTGCCTCGAACGATCTCGTTGGCATTCTCTTTACAATCTCGATACGCTTACGCGGACACGCAAAACATTCCGCGGAGGAAAGAAACATACCTAGATCGAGCGGTCGAATTGTTGAGCGCGATTTCCATAGCGCACTAATTACCCGTCCAGGTACAAGACGGGCGAAATGTAGCGGGCGGCACGGAATGCCGTTGCACGTTAAACGTGGCCAGGTCTTCGTCGGGTCGAGCACGCTGGGTAGGTACGTCAACGAAGGGTTACGCGAGCCAAGCCTTCCCTTGGCGAGGAGAGCGATGCCAGCGATAATACGAATGCGGGTTACTTCGAATGCTAATTATTTGTTTATCAGCCTCCGCATGCAACCACGCCGGCACGCAGCCAGTGTCCCGATAAGAAGCGGTGCCCCTTGAAGCTGTTGCGCGCTAGGGTTATATACGCTCGACTTCGGCCTCGCAGATAATTGCGGCGATTATAAAAACGTTCGCTTTGCCTCGCTCGTCTTTCTCGTTATCGGACTACCTGTCGACTTCGATATACTCGTTTCCTACGTCGTTTCCTACGTCGTTTCGTGGCTTCCTGCCTCTCTCTCTTTCTTTTTCTCAATACTTTGTCCTTTATCGCAGTTATCTTGAAGTGTAAATTAAGACTTGATACGCATGATTGGGTTCAAAGTACTACTAAATATATATTTATACAATGAGCGACGACATAAAAGTATTAAGAACATAAAGTTTAGCTAATAGCAGAAATTTCTAATTTGCAGTAATGTTGCGTGACTGCGTAAAACTGCACGTTATGATGATAGCTCGTGAGCTGAAAAAAAAAGAAATAAAAACTTTTTCCCGTTGATTACAAGACGCGTTATCTGAGCAACCTCATTGCATTTATAAAGTTAATTGTGTGATAGTACTATCCAC